GTCGGGACTTGTATGATGTTAAGTCCATGAGCTGTGAGACAAAGACATCTGTCACTCAGCCTGCAAATGGACCTGGACAAGAAACCCGTCTTCCTCCTGCCCTCCCTGTGAATATGCTAATCCTAGTGAGTGCGGGAGTGGGCCCCATAAAACGGGGAATTGGCTTTTTGGGGGAGCAAGGGGAGAGAAAGATAAGTCCTTTCTGCATCCAGCAAGGTTTTCCTGTTACAGCAACTCCTGTTGGGTTTGGAGCCATGATGTGCTGTTCGAGAAATACAGCCTTGTTTTTCAAACGACGTGTCCTTCCAGGTGGCACTTGGCCCAGTAAAGCTGCCGTAGCGTTGTAACCAGAGAGTACTGCGACGTCCTGGAAAGAGTCTGCTCTTGTTCTCCCACACATGTGTTTGAGAAGAATCAATGACACATCAGTCCTTAAAAAGGGGGAAAAAACATTTTGGGCTGGAAATTCATGCCTTTTCCCTGGTCTCAAGGTGCTTGTGCTCCCTGGCTCTTCCTTGCTCTGAAAACTGCATTGCTGTCCTCTCTCGTGGGATTTGCAACTTGTCACCCAGCTGCTGTGGAGGATGAGCATTGAGATGCTGGAGCTGTGATTGAGTGCAAGGTCAGCACTGCATGTAAAATGGTCCTGAGGGTGGATTCAGTGCTCACGGGCAGCAGAGGCACTGCTGAGAGCCGTGCACCTGCAGGCAGGGAGCACCTTGAAATTGTGGATTGTGCTGGGAGAAACCAACCTTTGGGCAACCCTCCAGGAGAGGGTGGATCCAGCTCCAGGGCTGTCCCAGGCCTCATCTGTTCACACGGCTTGAGGATCTTGCAAATATATGGACAACGTGCCAGTGGTTCATCGGGGTTTCCACAGCAAAATCTGACATCAAGAGGTGCCTCCAGGTTGATGTCAGTTGTCTGCATCTCTCCAGGTAGCTCTGGTTGTTTCATTGTCCCACATGTCTGGGGCAAGACACGTTCGGTCATCCTCTCTTGGTCCCACATGCACCTTTTGGGCAGCCTTTCTCTCAGGCATGGACCTGAAGTATGACTTGCTGTCCTGCTGAGGACATGAAAATTTGTCTCCCCATCCTCCAGCCTGAGGCCAGCTCTTGCTGTCTTTCTGCTGTTGTCCTGGCAGGACTCTGGTGTCCGAAGCACAAGGAGTCTGTGTCCAGGCTCCTGAGCCTATTCTGGGTTTTTTTTTCACACTTCCATCAAATAACACTGATGAGGGAGTTGAATTATGGCCTGCCAAAACTGCTTGGTTGGGTCTCCGCAAAGAAAAGCCCTGCAGAACAAAACAGGGTACATGGAGAGGCAGGCGAGGCTGGTGAGTCTCAGCAACATCACATCTAGGGCTGCTCTACCATCGGCCAAGGTTTCCAGCAGAGAAATACGTGCTATTAGCTGGTAGCAGATGTGGCATCAGTGCCATGCACCCCTGCCATGCATGCCCACCAGTTTTGCTCGTGTTGGGTAACAGCATGCTCGGTCAGAGGCCCCTGGCTGTGCCCCACTCCTTGCAATGCACAGCCATCCCTTGTCCTGGCTTCTTGTGGGGTCTGGAGCCAGGGCAGAGCTGCTGCTGCTGCTGCTTCCACAATGTGCCAAAGGTCTGCCAAGCCCAAGCAGGTGGCTGGAGTCGTGTGGTTTTTGCCATTAACAAAAAATCTCAGCTAAAGGCTGATGTGCCTGGATATATGAAATCTTGCGTGTGGTTGTACCTGAGACCTGGCTCATGGCTCCATAGCCATGGTCCACAACCTGCTTTCCTCCTTGTGACACTACGGTCAGGGCTTTTCCTGAGCTGTGAATGCACTGCCACCTCCTGAGCCTTTCACCCCTTCTTTCTCCATCTGCTTCACCCCCTCTACAATTCAATATATAAAGCCCCCACCCCTGTAACAATGAGGAGGGTACGGAGCCGGCTGCATCCCTCACCCTGCTCCCTGCCATGCCTTGTCCTTTGGGCTTGCCCAAGGGAGGATGCGCCCAGGTCCGACCTGCGCGGATGAACCAGAAGGGGAATATTCAGAGCATTTCTGTTAACCTGTAGCCAGGAGAGAGCTGCCAAGGAGGCCACGCTGAAACCCGAAGCGGCTGTTTTTCCTAAGACTCAGCACTTGGCAGGGAGAGCAGACGGACAAGTGGCGGAGCGGGGAGGGATGCAAGCACCCTGGAGGGCAGCACTGCTGGTGGAGGTGCCCGGGGAAGGCATGCTGGCTTACCTGTTTGCCTCTGGGGATTCATCTCCATGTCGTCCTTGTCCGAGATCACGAGGAGAGTCAAGAGGAGGCTGGGGTCATTGCCGACCCTTCTGTCCTTACATGTGGCTTTTCCCTTAGTTACCCTCTTTGTGCCATGTACTGAGCGTGTCCTTCAGCAGGAACAAGCAATAGCTGGTTTTCCCCTTGCGTTGCTCAGAAAGGTCAGGAGATGGTCCAAGTGTCTCTCTCGGCTCAGCCGCCGCGGGGTTCGGCTGAGCCAGCCCAGCCGTCAGCGCTCGCCCCACCTGGACTTTTTTTCCTTTATAGCTCAGCGTTATCTCAAGGTCTCTGGCGTTGCAGCTGGCGCTGTGTTTGCCTTGCCTTGCAGCACCTGCCTGCCAGCCGGTCGCTTCCCACCCATCTCCCTCCCGCTCCTGGCTGGTGACAGTGGGCTAGGGGGGACGTGGGAGCCCTCAGGGTGGGGGCAACCCCCACGGGGCTGCAAGTCAGCCTCATCACTGCCAGCCCCGGGGGAGTAAGGACAGCGAGTAGCAGGGGAAGTTGCCCAGAGCGGGATGATGGGAGAGGTACTCGGGGGCATCTGTCCCATCAACTTTGCTTCCCCGTCCCCATCAACCTTGCTACTGGGGCAGGGCTGGGTGTTACATTGAATTGGGGACCAGGGCACTGTCCCAGCCTGGGTCTCTGCTGCCAGGACCGGTGCTGGATGCATGGCTGAGCCGCTGTGCCCTGCCCTGTCCAGGCAGCATCAGCCCCTCCAGCCGCGGGGAGTGCCAAGACTTCATCCAAAGCTGAGATGCTGTTAAAAATAGATCAGTCGTGAACTGGTTTTCTCCTCCTTGGTTCTTGGCCCGAGAGCTCATTCCTGTCTCTGGGCTGGCTTTGAAGCTATCTGGATGCTGCGAGACACAGGCTGCATGCCAGCCTGCCATTGCAGGGAGGCTTGGAGACCAGAGAGCTGCAGAAACGTTATAGGTGGCATAGCTGTCCCCAAAATATTTAGTGGTTAGTGAGTGCTGGAAAAAGAATCTGCTAAATAAATGGGGAAATGAAGCTGGGATAGGAGGGGCTGTTTGCTCCTCCGCTTGCACATGGTGCTCTTGTGAGGGGGCACAGGCGCCCAAGCACTCCCAGCTGGTGCCGCCGCCAGTGGGCCACAAAACGATGCTTGCCTCGGCCCCACGGCTTCCTAGAAAACAGCTGCCAGGCTGCAGCCTGCCCTTGGCCCTGCATCCCAGAGCGATCCCGCTGACCCCTCCACTGCGCAGCTCTGCAGGAGCTCCCGACGCCTGCTGTGGAGCCGCCGCATCCCGGGCTGGCTGGGCTGCTCACGCTCCCCAGGAAAAGGTCTCTCCCACTTTGAGACTGGTATTCTGGATCCCAGTTTCCTCTTGTAGCCCTTTTCTGTCCTAATTCTTCAATATCATTTTTCAGGTGTGAACACTGAGTCTGGAGACAATTTTAAGATGCAGCTGTGAAACCTATTATCAGCATCGCTGCTATCAAATACATTAGGTTCAGGGCTGCACGTAACCACTGGGCAATTAAATGGCAACCCTGGTGATGAATTACAACTGAGACCTCCCGGGGCTAAATAAATATCGGCTGATAACTACTGATAAAATGAATTTCCGTGTGCTTTTTTTTAAAAGCACCCTTCCAGTATCTGTGCCCGGTCGCAGCGCTGCACGTCTCCCGGGGAAAGCGGCGTTAACTGTGGCATTTCCTCCACTAGCACCTTGGGTTTCCAACCAGAGCTGGAATAAAAATAAACCAAATAAATCCACGTCCCTGCAGGAGCCAGGCAAGGGCAGGGAAAGGCAAGGCAAGGCAAGGCGACGCAGAGGTGGGCAGGGAGGGAGACAAGTGACTAGCTGAGGTTTTGGGTAACTGATCTAAATATCTTTCCCCCAACTATCCCACCTCAAACGCATGAAAAAACTGTCGCCATGCAGAGCATGCCTCGGGAAAGCCAGCAGGATGGGGAGAGCTGCAAAGCGCTGGTGACAGAGCGGTGGGGTCCCCCGGGGTGATGCGAAGGAGAGCAGCAGCCTGGCAATGCTTCACCCAGCACCCTGCCCGGGGGGAATGGGTGCAAGCCCATCTGCACAGGCGCCGTTACACCCTGTGCCTGCGGAGGCTTCTGCTCCCCACTCTCCAAATGTAGTTTGGAAAAAGGCAGAGAATAAATTTATGGAGCTTCTTGGAAAAATGGTCTTTGCCAGTGACTTTGAGAGACTTCTGAGCAGGTTTTTTCTGTGCTGGCATTTCATCTGGGGGCTTCTCTTCCCAGCACGTTGCCCTGCGGAGGGAGTGTCAGGACGGCTGGTGCTCTGCATCCCTGGGTGCAGCTTTCCCACTCTCCAGCTGGCTGCAGAGAGCAGCTGCACCGCCAGTGAAAAAGCATTTGGCTGAACATCCCATCCGCCTGGTTTGCAAGTGAAAATAAAGCTTGTCTGATGGCCAGCTCCACCCAGAGCAGAAAATCAGACCCTTTGGCAGATCATTGCTACTGTAATGAAATTTAGCTGTGCGGAGACTGCCAGTCCTTGAATGGGAAGAGTCCCACGTGGGTTCAGAGAAGTTCCGGGATGGATCCGTCACAACTGCTGCTGCTCAGGGTTTTTGGCACTGCCTGGGGACACCCACCACAGGTGAGCGTGGCCCCGTGGCTCAGCCCACCCTCAGCACTGATTGCAACGTCGTCTTCTCCCCGCAGCGAGTCCCCCCAGCCCTGGAGCCGTGTAGTCTCACAGAGCCATGATGAAGCTCCTGTCTGTTGCCCCTCTCCTCCTGCTTCTCCTGATGATGCTGGAAGCCAGACCAAAACCTGCAGGTGAGCCCTGGCTGGTGGGAATTGCCTGCAGGAGAGAGAAGTGAGCCTTGTCAGGGCAGTGAAGCCCTTGGAGGATGTCTTGCTGCTTGAGGTGGGGGGACCTGATGCTTCTTCTTCAGGGGCATCCCCAGGACGATGGAGGATCCCCCCAGGCGTGGGACCCGAACTTCCCAACACTGCCCAGGGGAGTGGGAGCCCGAGCCTGGCCCCAGTGTGGTGGGTCTGGTGCCACTTGCTCCGGGCACGTCCTCAGACTTGGCACAGCCCACCTTGTCACCCTCCTGCCCGCAGGCTCCGACCTCGGCAGGAGGCACAGGCATGAGGAGGAACCCCTTCCCTGCATGGGTCTCCTGATGGGGGGACAGGGGCACCAGCCTCTCTCCTCCCAGGGCAGAGGGAGCTAAATCAATTCCAGTTTAAAAACAGTGAAGGCACCAAATGGAGAAAGGAGTGGGTATGTCTTGGAGACCTTCGGAGCAGTTGAGATGACAGCCCAGGTCTGGGCATCATCACAAGGGGACTCAAAGTGTTTGCTTACCGTTAGGGCCAAATTCTCCCAGGCTTGGGTACACACAAGCCAAGCAAAATATGTTCATTGGCATTTCGCTTGCTAAACACTCTCCCAGTTTGCACTGGAAGTAGCACCCATATGTCCAAGAGAGGCTCTTTGGCTCGATCCCTGCCATGTGCGTGCCCTGAGCCGTGCTTTTCACTGTCTCATTTTCTGCCCTTGAAAAAAAAAAAACCAACAAAGCAAGCCCTCATTTTAGGCAGAAACTGGCAAAATGCAGTAAAAAACAGGGGAGGCTGGAGCTGCGGGGGGAACAGAAGAATTGCCCAAAGCAGTATTTTCATGCTTGTCACTGCAGCAGCAGGAGCCCGTGCGGTGCAGAGGTCTGGAGCAGGCGCTGCAGCTTGCAGAGGCCAGCATGAGGCACTGGGCTGTTTTACACTTTAATGCTCTGATTTGCTGCAGATGTGAAGATGCCGCTGCCTAAACCTGTGCCTAAACCTTGCCAGGGCAGATGCCAACAGACAGAGAGGCGTTTCTGCAGCCTCTGAGGCTGTCGGCTGCAAAAATGCAGGGAGCAGGAGCTGGGTCTGGCTGCAGGGATGGTGTCGGGGAGGAGGGGACACTGCCATTTCCCTACAGCCCCATGGCCAGGGCATGTCTCCCCTGCCTGTTATCCCTGCTCCCACTCTGCCAGCACCCTCCATGGGTTTATTTGGCAGTGGGAAGGTGCTGGTCTGTGGGGGCTGCCCACACCTGCCCTCTCCATCCCCCACTGAGCACCCCTCCAGCCACCCGACGTGGATGTCTCTACTCCCAGCCCTGCTCTCTACAGGCAGCCATGAGACTGAACCATCTCTTTGCCCCCTTCCAGCCCTGAAGTGCAGGACGGGTCCCCTGGACATCGTGTTTGTGATCGACAGCTCCCGCAGTGTGCGCCCCTTCGAGTTCGAGACCATGCGGCGGTTCATGATGGACATCATCGGCAGCCTGGACGTGGGCCCCAATGCCACGCGGGTGGGGGTGATCCAGTACTCCAGCCAGGTCCAGAACATCTTCTCCCTCAAGACCTTCTTCACACAGGCAGACATGGAGAAGGCCATCAACAGCATCGTCCCGCTGGCCCAGGGCACCATGACAGGGCTGGCCATCCAGTACGCCATGAACGTGGCCTTCACCACGCAGGAGGGCGCACGCCCTCTGCACAAGAAGATCCCCCGCATCGCCATCATTGTGACGGACGGACGGCCCCAGGACCGCGTCACCGAGGTGGCCACCCAGGCCCAGAATGCTGGCATCGAGATCTATGCCGTGGGCATCCAGCGGGCAGACATGAACTCGCTGCGGGCCATGGCCTCACCACCGCTGGAGGAGCACGTCTTCCTGGTGGAGTCCTTCGAGCTCATCCAGCAGTTTGGGAAGCAGTTCCAGGACAAGCTCTGTGGTGGGTGAGAGCTGCGGCTGTGGGCTGGCAAGGGTGGGCTCGGCTAGAAGATGACCTTCACATGGGTGTTTGGGGTGTCTGCCCTTGCTAGGAGCAGTGTGGACAGGGAAGCAACCTCCCCGATGGGGTGCTGGGACAGGTGGCCTTTCCTCTTGCTCACCTTTCCTCTGCTGGGGTGAGATGAGAAGAGCTTCAAAAGCATTGCAAGCAAGTGCTTTTCTTCACCCATGCTTAGTAGCTCTGCCCCAAGCCAGGACGTTGTGGCAGCAGTGATGGGAATATTAAAGAGCAGAAAATGTGGAGCTGGTTTCCCTGGGTGTGATGGGGATGGGTGACATGTCCCAGAGCCCCATACACATTTCGACGTGGCTCTAGCAGGGTCTACTCCTATGCAGACACGTGCATGGCATCTGCTGCATGCACATTTGTGTTTAATAAAACCCTGGCCACGTGGTGCTGCTCTGGAGCATCTGGCCAGTCTCGGCTGGGAGCCGGGAGGCTGGTTTGCACCGTGGCCATGCTGGCACGGGTCGGGAGCTTGCAGGCTGGGACCTGTCTGTCCCCGCCATGCTGGCGGGCTTTGCTGGAGACCTGGCACTGCAGCAGGCTGGCAAGACCTTGCTCATGTGCTTCAGCATCTGACGAAGGGCAGAAGGCAGCTGCCAGCCTTTTTCAGGCAGTGTTTCCTAGCCAGGGGCACGTGTGTGCGTGCAGGGCTGCGTTAGTGCCATGGTGAGTCCCTGCTTGCTGGGGTGGGGGGTCCAGGGCTGACCAGATATTGCCCCCGGGGGCCCTGATGTGCTCCTGCGCCTGATGCCTTTGCTTACAACACCCTGTCTGTCGCCGGCCTGCCCTGCTGCCCGCTTCCCAGCCAGCTCTGCAGGCTCCTGGCTGCACAGACAAGCAGAACTGGCTCCTTCAGCGTGTTCCAGCTGAGCTCAAGCTTTCGCTTACTCAGCTGAAGCTGTCAACAATGTCGATTAATATTGAGCGTTGATTTAGTGCTCAGGTAGAGGCAGTTCAGAAACCTGCCCCGTGCAGTGTCTGTGTCCGTGCACTGGAAATCAGTGGGTGAACGCTGGGGCTGGAAGGGGTGCATGCCGGAGCCAGAGTCCCCGTGCATCTGGTGTGCCTGTGGGCCACTCTGATGCCCTTTCTGTCTTGCAGGGGTAGACACGTGCATGGAGCAGGAGCACGGCTGCCAGCACAGCTGCGTCAGCACCCCTGGCTCCTTCTACTGTGAATGCAACCCGGGCTACAGGCTCAACGTGGACAGAAAGACCTGTTCCCGTAAAGAACCTTTTTTTATCCTAACTCTCATGGAGCTCTCACGGAGCAGTCCCTGCTCGGCTGCCCCAGGGAGTCCAGGACAGGAGGATGACGGGTGTCCTGTTCCCCCACAGCCGTCGATGCCTGTGCAGACGGGAGACATGGCTGTCAGCACCAGTGCATCAGCACTCGTGGGTCGTACTCGTGCCGCTGCCGTGCGGGTTACTACCTCAACCAGGACAAGAGGAGCTGCACTAGTAAGCATCCCTCTCCTTTTCTGTCCCTTCTTCATTTGCTTCTCGCTCTCCCTCTTCTTCTCTTGTCTTTCCCTTTCTGCCCACCCTTCTCCTTCTCTCACCAGTGATTGATTACTGCAGCTTCGGAAACCACAGCTGCCAGCATGAGTGCGTGAGCATCCCCAACGGGCACTACTGCCGCTGCCGCAGCGGGTTCACACTGCAGCCCGACAGCAGGTCCTGCAGGGGTACGTCCTGGCGTGGCGGCGCGGCACAGACTGAGGTGTACGGCACATACTTTGTCCTGCCCGGTCCCCAGGGGAAAGGCTGTTCCTGGGCCACCCTCCCTGGGTGGGGATAACCCTGTGCCCTTGGCTTGTCTTTCAGCCACTGACCTCTGCAACGGGGTGGATCACGGCTGTGAGTTCAAGTGCGTGAGCACTGAGGGCTCCTACCGCTGCGTGTGCCCCGAGGGCCAGCAGCTCCAGGCTGACGGCAAGGCGTGCAGCAGTGAGTACCGGGACACAGCTCTTGGCATCCTCCTCATCTGGGCTGTGTGCTCCTGGCGAGGGCTTACCTGAAACTAGGCTGGGGGTCTAAGTGGGACTTTGTCTGAGCTGGTTTGGAAGGAGGATGGAGAGGTGGCTGGGCTTGGGGGAGCGCCCCGGCTGCTGTGGGAATGGATGCGGGCTCGTGTCCTCAGAGACATGGCCCAGAAGATGCAACAGAAGCTTTGAGGAAACATTCAGGAAAAGGGATACCTAGGAGGGACTTTCAGGGGATGCTGGGGTGGCAGTGGAGGTTTTTGGGCTGAGACCCCTGGGCATGCTTTGCCCTGCTTCCTGGCCTTACCCCGGCTGCAGGTCCAGGGGGTCCACGTGGTGCTCCAGCCCTGGGCATCTTCACCCTCATGGTGCCCACAGCCAGGCCAGTCCCTTCTCACCTTCCCTCTGTGCCTGCAGAGTGTGGGGCCGGGCATGTCGACCTGGTGATGGTGATTGACGGCTCCAAGAGCGTCCGGCCCCAAAACTTCGAGCTGGTGAAGCAGTTTGTGAACCGCATCGTGGACCTGCTGGAGGTGTCCCCTCACGGCACGCGCGTGGGGCTGGTGCAGTACTCCAGCCGCGTCCGCACTGAGTTCCCCCTCAACAAATACCACAGTGCAGATGAGATCAAGAAGGCAGTGATGGAGGTGGAGTACATGGAGAAAGGCACCATGACGGGCCTCGCCCTCAAGCACATGGTGGAGCACAGCTTCTCCGAGCTGGAAGGTGCCAGGCCTCTCTCCCACAGCGTGCCCAGAATCGGGCTCGTCTTCACAGATGGGCGCTCCCAGGATGACATCTCCGAATGGGCCAGGAGAGCAAAAGAGTCAGGTGCGGGGGGCCAGAGAACCCCAAATGGCAGTGCTTTGGGCATCTCAGGATGGTTCCTTGGGGTGGCTGGCTCTGGGGGAGGCTGCAGCATCCAGCCTTGGGGTGTTGCATCGCCTGGGTCCGCAGGGGCAGACATGCCTCTGCCGTGGTCGCAGGGTGGTCTGAGCAGCATCCTTCTTGCAGCAGCCTGCACCACAGTGGTGGTGCCACGCTCCTGCCTGTCCTTCCCAAATTCCTGCGCTGTATTTAGGAAGCTGGGGGAAAATCCTGCATCCTTGGCTGCCCAGGGGAAATCCTGCATCCTCGGCTTTGCTTCCTCTGGGCTTCAGGCTGTTTGATGTGGGGCAGCTGGCACAGTGCTCAGGATCTGTCCTTGCCACTCAGGGATCATCATGTTTGCTGTGGGTGTCGGCAAGGCTGTGGAAGAGGAGCTGAAAGCGATCGCCTCCGAGCCGGTGGAGCAGCACTTCTCCTACTCGGCAGACTTCACCACCATGACCCACCTCGTGGAGAACTTCAAGCTGAACATCTGCCCAGGTGGGTGGCCCTGGCCACACCAGGGGGCTCAGCCCTGGGCTGGGGGAGCCTTCCTCGCCCTGCAGAGCTGGTGGGGTGGTTTGTGTCTGTCACCCTGTGTCTCGTGCCCCAGGGCCGAGCTGGGCTGGTGCGAGCCTAGGGTGTCTCGATCTCACCAGGCTGTTGCGGGTATAGAGGTGGGGCTCAGGGAGGGACTGGAAAAGGAGAAGGTGTAGCTGGGGGGTTAAATGCAAAAGGGACGGCATGTGAGTGGCTGCCCCAGTGCTGTTGCATGGGCAGAGTCTGGGGTTGCACCCTGCCTGGAGGGATGCTGCCCCAGCTCCGAGGACGGCCTGTCTCCTCGTCCAGACCTGCACTTCTGCTGCTGCTGGTTGCAGGAGGACCACGACGGGTTACTCTGAAGGTCTCCCTGCCTTGGGGCAGACTGGGGCTCCCCAGTGCTCTTGGGACCCCTGGGGGCTCCCGTGGGGCTACAGATGTGGGGTCAACATCCCCCCCCCGCCACCCCAGCTCAAAGGCGAACCAAAGCTCCACACTGGCTGTCCTCGGCATGCTGTGACCACATGCACGGCAGCTCCACGGGATGCCTGGTGGGATGCCTGGCAGCGAGCTCGCTGGGCTAGCAAGGATACAGCCTGGTGAAAAGGAGCAAGGCTGGAGAAAGAGGGGGAAACGGGAGAGCCCTGAGACTCAGGTCCGGCCCCAGTGGGTGGCTGTAGGGACAAGGGACTCGTGCTGTGCGGGAGCAGGGGAGAGCCAGGTGCCACAGGGCTGTGCCTCTGACTGCACCCAAACCCCCACGGTCACAGAGGAGGGCAAAGGGGAGATGGAGATCCGCAGCCCATGCGAGTGCGAGGCACTGGTGCAGTTCCAGACGAACACCGTGGCCATCCTGCAGAGCCTGACCGAGAAAAATATCCTTTGGGGTGATGCCTGGGCTTGCTGGGGTACAGGGCAGCCTGGGGATAGACCGCACACTGGGAAGGAAGGGATGGATAAATGGGAGCAGGGAAAATTTTCGGCTCCTTCAAGGGGAAAAAGCTGTTTGCCCACCAGACCGTCTGGCTCGCGCCATTTCCTTAGCACGTTTACTTGCTCAGATGACGGCCAGACTCGAAGACTTGGAAAAGCAAATTGCCAACAAGAAGTGATCCTTGCAGAGGGCTGCAGTGCTCGGACAGGGCATGGGGACGTACAGTAGCTACGTGGCATTGTTATTGCTAGGTTATTGTAAAGCATCAGTGTTTGTTCTTGTATTGCAAAATCCCAAGGGGGACCCGGAGTGTATTTAAAAAAAACAAAAATCCTTAAAAAAAAAAAAGAACTTGTGCAAAAACCCCTGCTGCAAAGCCAAGGGGTTCAGCCTTTGCTGTTGCCTCGTTCCTCCGAACTGGCAGGTCTGGGATGAGGTGGGATATCTGTGTGGGCAGGCTGTGCTTTGAATGAGGAGACATGACACCCAGCCTTTTCCCAAAGTGTCTGGGATGAACCAGCCCCTGCGCAGCCCCCCCGGCCCCCAGCGCCCAGCAAGCTGCTTTGCAAGAGTAAAAACCTACAGTGATCGCACCCTGAGAGCTTCTGCCGTCTCAGCCTCTGCTGCCAAGTGGTGGGACGGGGAGAGCCGGGCGCCACGGGCAGTGCACAGGGGTGCGTGCCATCCAGCTCACCCGGCCAGCTCCCGGCACGGTGCCCAGGTGTGCACCCATGAGAAAGCCAGCGGCAGGAATCGGCAGATCCCTTTGCCCCTGTTTTGGCAGAATTGTTTGGGAATCGGTTATTATCTTGTTTGGTTTTTTATCACATAGCAAAATGGTAATAATTCTTTCTATAAATATCTACGTGTGTGTGTGTATATATATATATTTCATTTTGAGAGCAGGGTAGTGCTATTTTTAAACACTTCTTTTATATATGGAAATTTCTATCCTGACAATAAACACCCTGAAGATTTGTATGACACGTCCCTCTCCTTTCAGCTGGGCTGCAGGGCCGTGGAGGCATCTCTGCATCAGAACAGGGGCCTCTGGCTTTTGCAAAGGCCCCCCTGTCCTCAGGCTCCAAAAATCCTTCGGGAAAATCCTTGCTCCATGGGCACCCCAGGATGCTGCAGACCAGCCTTGGCTGGAGGGAGCCAGCGTGGCACGGGCACTGTGTCACCGTCCCCAGTGTTTGCTTTGGAGCCTGCGCTTGTCAGAGCACGGGGAGCTCAGGGCATGCTTTATGGGGGTGTAAAGGTGCCAAGTCAGTGGTGCAGGGCCACTTACACCCACGGGGGACCTGGCCCTGGTGCCGGGATATGTCTGCTTGGGGCAGGAGAGCCACCGAGCATGCACCGGCATGGGGAGGGATGCCTAGGCAGCCGGGGACCCACCTCCCGCAGGTGCATGGTGCCGGGGCAGGAGAGCCACCAAGCTCCCTGGCTGCCTGCATGGGGAGGGGTGCCTAGGCAGCTGGGGACCCACCTCCCGCAGGTGCATGGTGCAGAGGTAGCTTTTAAATCACAGAAGCCCACGTTCGTGTAGTCCTCGTGTCCCACACCCGGGGAAAAGGAGGTCTCCACTTAGTCCTGTCTCCTGCATGCAGGCAGAGGCTGCTGGATAGGGACAATGACAGGTTTTTGGAGGGGTCCTTCATGTACCTACCTTGCTTGCTGGTTCCGTACCCAGGAGGTGAAAGCAAAGCAGGACTGAGAGGAGCTGTTGCTTTTGAACTAGCAATTCGTGCAGGAGGGATTCGTGTGCCCCGGGGGGCTCACGGGGCTGTGCTGGGCAGCCCCGGACTGGAGGAAGAAGGAGGAGGAGTAGGAGGAGAAGGGGGAGAAGAGGGAGGAGGGTTAGAGCTCTGGGCTCACGCTGCTTCAGCCCAGCTCCTTTTCCCCCAGGATGCTGTTAATGGCTCCATCACACACTTTGGCCAACTTGCTTTGCAGAGCCTGGGTGTTTCCACTGCCGTGAATAATCCTGTTGGGTTTATAGGGCACTTTCAGGGGTGGCTGAGAGGGCCACATCCTGCTGGTCCCACTTCCAGGAGAGGTTTGCTCCATGGGACTCGTGTCCTAGGGGGTGAGAGCTGGGATGTGGTCAGGTTTTGTGTGCTTGAAGCTGGGATATGGAGCCGAGGAGCAGGAGGCTGAAAGCAGGTCCTGGGCTGGGGTGTGGGGCTTGCTGAGACTGCTCCAGGGAGAGGAGCTGGGAAGTGCCCGGGTATTTTGCTTTACAAGGCAAGGAGTAGCTTTTTCCACATGCAATCAAAAGCAGCGGTTCCCCAGTTCAGCGTGGGGGTTTGATGGCTTGTGAGCAGGGCTCTTGTCCCGGCTGGCATGGACTGGGGCATTTGTAGCCTCATTATATCTGTTTGCTGGGCCGGCAAATGAAGCACTGCTGATTAGCTCTGCGCATATCCCAGCCGGCAGCCCCACGGCCCTCCTGTCAGCCCTATGTCCCACCTGTCAGCCCCACATCCCACCCGTCCGCCCTATATCCCCCCCATCAGCCCCATATCCCATCCATGCACCCCTCCCAGCCCCCACATCCCTCTCACCTACCCTGCAGCCCAGCAGGCAGCCCTGGGGAGGGGTTAGGAAGGTGCTGATGGTCGTAAGCCACATCCAAGCCAGATCCTATTGCTACAGAGCACAGTGACCAACAAGCCACACCAGTGTGCTGCAAGCCCGAAACTGGGGGCTGAGACCTCCCTGCTTTGTATGCAGCTCCCTAAAAAACCACACAGTAACTGCAGGGAAAAATAAAACAAAAGGAAAAAAAAAACAAAAAAGCAATTAGCTGAGTTTGTGATTTAATAACAGGCTTGATTAGAGCAGATAACAGCACGCCCTGAGGCCCTGATTAAGCCTCAGTTGGCCCAATGTAATTTTGGCAAATATTAAGGGAGGTTCTAGACAAAGTGGAGCTGGGCTGACAGTCAGACGGAGAAGCTCGATGAGGGCTGGCAGCACGGTGTGGCCTCGGGGATGGAAAATCATCGGTGTGGAGGTGTGAGAGGGGAGGCGGGAGGCACAGGGAAGGGCAGCAGGAGCTGGGCATCAGCTGAGGTGGGATTTTTCGGGAGAGCATTCCCGGGACAGGCTGTGGGATCGCATCTGGGAGCAGGACCGTGTCTGCGTGGTCCTGCAGAGCCTCATTAATGGCTTTTCACTAGGTGGCACCAGACACCAGCGCTAATTAGGGTGCGCTGGGCTGGAGGCACCCCCTTCTCCCGGGCACCCCGAGGCGGTGGACCCGGCCCGGGGGCGAGCGGAGCATCCTCAGCCATGAGCTGGGGATGGATGGACGGAGCTTGGCGTCGGATTGAAAGCATTGCATCGCCTGGTAGGGGACAAGGGCTGCTTGGTGGGGCACAAGGTGTCCCTCGGCTGCTTTGTGCACGCTGCTAAGGCTGGGGCTTGGCCATGGTCAAGCCCCGAGCTGGGGGTCCAGGGGCTGCTGGCCTCCCTCCTTGCCATCCCTGTGTAAAACAAACTGGGAGAGCCCTGGCCTGGCTGGGAAATTGCAGCGTCAGCCGGCAGCATCCTCAGCATTGCACAGCTCAGGCCCTGCTGTCTAGGGAGGAGGCTCACGAAGTGCTTTTCATGGAGGAGAGTATGAGCAGTGTGAGATGGGGATGGCTCTGCGGGACCCTGGGGCAATGGGTGCTGCACACATGGCAGAGTGCAAGACGGGGACTGCAGGCGGTCCCGTGCACAGAAATGCCATGGTCTGGGTTATTCCATGGGAGTTTGCAATAGAAGCAGATTTTAGACTTCTCCCCTTATGGACTTGCTATGGATAAAGCACTATCAAAAGTCCTTCAGATGGATTTCTCCCCCCCCTCCCCAGCTTCTTTGCAGCCGAATCCAAGCCTTGCTCCTTGGTGTTTTCTCCTCTCTCGGAGGTGCAGCCCCAAGCACCACCTCAGCCAGATCCTGGCACCAGCTGGGAGCACAGCACTGTCCTCCAGCCCCAGCAGCAGCTGAATGCCAAAGGATTGCTTAAAAATTAATCCAAACCTTGTATTTCTCATTAAAAGTGCTAAATTGTTGGTGCTCAGCCCAGGAACTCTATCTGGGTTGGCTAAATACTCTCCCGGTTATTTAATAAATGACTTTACAAAGAGCTAAATGCAGCCACAGAATCATTAGGGAAACTGGACAATAATTAACAGAAATCCAGTAAGTTAAGATCCAGTTAATGTGGCACATCAAGACATGAGAAGGTAAGTCTGAGCAGGAAAGGGCACAGTGAGATGCCCACCATGCCCTGGATGGAAAGTGGGGGCTCCGGGGGCTGGGGCAGAGCGATGGCAGGGCGCTCGGGGGCTGCATGGAGCACGTAGAGGCGATGCCTGGGCTTTTGCCGCTCCTTGCCCTGCCCAGTTGCAAAATCAGGGCCTGCCCCAGCCTGCCCTTTGCAGGAGCGCAGGGTGTTTGGCTGTGAGGTGCCTTCTCCTCCCAGAGCATTCCCTGTTTCCAGCACAGCTTGGGTTCCTGTCAGCCCCAGAAATTCCAAGGAAAGGCTCTAGGAACCTGTTACACAAGGTGAGGGGGACATTGACCCATTGTGGGGAAATGGAGTAATTTCCCATTGCCCAAGATCACCTAAAGAAAACAGCTTTGCCTGGGAGGGGGTGGGTGTGTGTGTGTGTGCAATCTTCTTGTGAGGGAGAAGATGGAGGCCTGAAGGCTGGTGAAATCTTTGCCCTCTGAGCAAGGACTACAGTCCCTTATCCCTACAGCCATCAAGAGTTAGGGCGCAGTCACACCAGGGATGTTGGGCCAATGACAGGGCTGTATGGAGCTAACGCTCCTACCGCGGTGAGGCCAGCCACTCTCTTCCAGCACCAACCTGCTTCCCGCATGGCAGTGGCCACCCAGAGAAGATGCTGGGGTTCAGGTGACCCCCACAGAGCTTGGGAAAGCTCACCCTCGGCTGAGCCAAAGCTGCTTTCCCCACCCTAGCTTACACCACCAGCAGGGCAGGAGCCAGGAGGATTTGGGGCTGGAGCAGGTTTCCTCTAGGAAAACCTTAGAGGATCATCCCTGGGAAGGCAAAGGCAGCCCCATGCTCTGGACCATTGCTGATCTGGATCATGCTGTAGGGTCTGGTTTGTGGGTCCACATGGAAGCAGGGTACTGAGGGAAACCCACGTAACGGGC